CCCACAACATGCGCAGGCCGAGTGTTGAACCACGAAGCTAGAAAAGAGAAGGAAGAAAAACCACGAAGATTCTTGGGCCGGTTAATGGGCCACCCAATGAAGAACTATGGTGTTGGACTGCTAGTTAATCCAAGTCCGGCGGATCAGATAGATTGACATGGATTCGCTCCAGCCTGGGGCTTATACCTGTCGCTGGGTATTCGGCACCCGTATCCAAATTCACACCCATAGTATTTGGGTAGGGTAAGGATAAAAATATATTATCCAATTAAGTCTGGGCATGGGTAGGGTATACCCATTTCGAATCAGGGTAATACTCGCTCATTCACATGCAGTCAGTGGTTGAGCTCTTTCTGTGGGATCCCTGAGGACGTAATTGCAGTTCAAATTTATTTCATATTTTCGTTTTAAATAACAAAGGTAAACTTAGATGTAAAAGGCTTAACCCTAGGTCGCATCAAGTAGGTCTTCGGCAGTTCATGGGCGAGCTGCTCCAAAAGGGGGGAGAAGTGTCATGGGTGTTGGGCCCAGGATGGCCCAGCCTGGGCTGGCGTGAACAAAATCTGTGGTACTGTTGCATGGCCAAAAATAGACCACTCGGTTAACTAGTTGCCTCCGGCTATGTCCAGCGTCCAAATAATGTTGCTTCTTTCTTTTTTCTTTTGATACGGACGTTGCTTCCTCCTACGGAGTATAACACGAAACGGCATAACACCTGCCCTGCCCCAAAGATTCCTCAAAAAGAATTGGGAAAAGAAATCTAAGAATGAACACGACGGTGCTCGAAGATTACTTCGATGCATCAAGCGATGCGAAGACTCTCCTAGCACTAAGGGGAAAATACTGTACAACAGATTTACGTAAAAGGGATGTAGCTTCAGCTCTGCGAAGAAGTGCTCATACCAGGGGGGACGGACGATGCTCGGCGGTGTCACGGCACTTCTCTGAAGCAGCCCGCGTCCGGAGGCACAATATGCAGAGCAGTGACCACCACTAGTTAAATAGAAGAAAAAAAACTAAATATTTTACCATACGTGCATAATAGCGAGTGTTACAACACCACACTTACACATAAAGCAAACTTAGAGTGTCAAGACTAAACTAAAATTGCTAAGTCTGCTTGTCACGTTTATGTTTATCAGCTAATTCCTTCAGCTTATGGGTTCCCAGCAGATTCAACACGCACACTGGCAAAAGAAGCAGGAGCCATACCATCAGTGGACCCACCTCATCAAGGCCAGGTAATTTTGTGCAAAACAGATAGACGTATAAGACGATTTGTAGCAATACATAAGGATTCTGAAAAACATCCACAGAAATTAAAAGTGTTAGTTATGAATTTTGTAACACTACAGTTGCATTAGCCATAATTATCATAAAGGAGAATATTACATATCAGTAATTCTAGCTAGCATATAGTGATATTACTGTAACAAAAAGAGTCCCACTGAAACTTTCGGAAGGATAGATAGTCTACGCATTATCAGTATAATGGTTGAGGAGCTTATAAAAACAAAAGCATTGGAACCAGTGGGAGAGCTTGAACCAAGCAGCAGGAGAGGGGGGGCACTTTGGCCTGAATAAAGCTCTGCCTCTGATTGAAACTGGGTGGTATTTGCAACTTCGACCAGATGATACATAGCTAATTCAAAATTGGATTAAATAGTCATACAAGTCAAGCTATCAAACAACGAAAAAAATACATGCACAAATACTTGGGCTTCCACAATCCCATGAGTTACAAAACTCAGTCTGCCCCTAACCCTGCTACCTGTTCTCCTAACAAATGTCCTTAAGTAATTGATTTACCACCACATACCTCAGGACAGGACTTATTAACTGAAATGTGAACAAAGCAGTAAAGCAGAGAAGACACTAGATGCCATTTTTGCTAGAAGTTAGGAATATTGTGCGGCAAACTATCCTAACGTTATCCTGTGTAATGCAAGTTCTTGAAATTTGGCTATCACAGAAGTTTTAACACTAGCACAGAAGATGTAAAGATTTTTATCACAGCAGCTTCGAAACTATTTTATATGGCTGAACTTCCCATAATTTTGAGAACTTTGTAAGCATTTTCGGGCTCTTCTAGAACCATATCAATCAACCAATTTTTCTTGAGTGACATACAAGCTCCAAACTGGCTGCAGCAGGTACAGTTCACTGACTTCATTCTTCACTCCGCTGCACATTACTGAACTCAACGAAGCCCAAGTTAATCAAACCAGCAATCGGAGGAATCCTACCAAAGTTAGCACCAAGCATGCAGAGCTCGAATGAAGTGACATTGCAGCTGGTGGTTCTGGTGGAAGGACAAAACTGGAGGAGCTGATTACAACAGCAACAGGCATGGCGGCATGGGTAGCAGGAGCACCGAGTATCACACCTATTACAGCCATCGCGGCAGGCGGTAACACTGAAGAGTAGCAGCTGTGGTGGTTTATTTGGATGCTCTGAATTATCTGCCCACTCACTCATTTACAGAGCCGTGCAGTGACCGATTCATGACAACGCCTACTGGGTTTGGGCAGCCAGAGCCGGCACCGTTAACTTTCTCGATGCACATCCTCACCGAGGCATGCCCCTCCGCCGCCGTGCCGCTCCCGGCCACAACGGCGACCCCAGTCCCCAAGTGCTGAGTTGGAAACCCCTATAGATGCGCGAAAACTAATGAATCCCCAACGCCACAACTTTCCGCTAGATAATAAAAGAAAAGCATGAATCTTCGGATGACGGCACACGGCGAGGCAATTATGGACAGATTTTTCGATTTTCTTTCTTCCTCGAACTACAGATAAAAGGGCATAAGGCATATGTGTTCAGCACGTGCTTACCTTGAAGAATCCGGACCAATCGAATCGTCCTCCGTTCTCCCTTCGTTCTTCTGGCACGCCGGCGCCGCCTTCCGCCTTCGTCACTTCCATCCCCTCCGCCCCGATTTTGCTCCCGGTGCTAGGAATGCCATCTACCAAGAAGTCAACGGGGCAGACGTGGGCTCTCTGGGCTGGGTATCGAAGTCGGACAGGTGGGCTGGCCTGGCCCAATGGGCGCAAAGACAAGCACTATATATTCTCTACTTATATTAGTATAGTATATACAAAATACCACATAAAATGATTAGAATAAATAAAAAGAAGAAGGAAAATATTTTATTGTAATTTTTTAAAAGGAGAAAAAATGAAATAGAAAAAGGATATATTTATACCTACTTAAAACATGTATCCGAGATGGGCCTTCGTGACCGTGGGGTAGTTGGAGGCTATACCTACTTAAAACATGTAGAAGAGCTAGTAAGAACGGGGGACGACACCTCCAAACCTATGATTGTCCATCAACCGAAAAGCCACAAAGGCCTCTCAGCCCATGCTACAACCTAAGGCCATGTTCAGTTAGGACGGGGTTGGTCGGGATTGTGCTCGGACCGTGTATCACGTGAGACTTGTGAGACTTCCTCACGTAAGTTCTCACAATGCTCGTCAGGCTTGTTTCAAATCTTATAGTTTTTCTGGAAACTCCTACTTAGTAGGTGAAATTATATCAGCTCGATGTTCTTAAACTGCTTTTTATTTTGCAATCAACACATGGGCAGTGTATGTATCCTTGACCCTGTACGTTTGACGGCTTTTTCACCTCCGTCGCTTGCTCCCGCCTACGTGTATATTAAAAAAACTAATCCCTTCGCTTCCTCATCCCCATCCTTACCCCTTTTGCGCTCCTCATCCACTACTGCAGCGCACCAACGCCCGGCGTCCTCATCGGGAGCCCCCAATGCCTGTAGATCTAGCGGCCCTCTCTCCCACCCCGGTGAGATCTATGGAGCACGAGCGAGATCCATGGAGGTGGCGTCACCACAAGGGCAAAGGGTTTTTGTGGCGAAAAATTTCATCACAAAAGCTTATTTTTTCGCCACAAACAAGCCTTTGTGGCGAATTTTTAAATCGCCACTAGTCGCCACAAATACTCGCCTCACAGATACTCTAGTGATGAATTTTTGTTCCCCGCAAATGACCATACTCATTAGTGACAAATTGTACTGTCACTAGTAACGGGACCATTTGTGGCTCATTCGTTGTCACAAAAACATATGCATTAGTGGCAAAAAATGATGCCACTCATAATGTTTTTAGTGGTGATAATAGTTGCCACAACTATACAGAATCTATGGCAATATAATTGTCACAATTACCATTGTAAAAGTGACAAATTTTGTGGTCACTAAAGACTACATATTAGTGATAGAAGTTTCGCCATTACTTGAGTTTGTCGTGTCGATGCTTGTTCTCACTATTAAATTATAATTGTGTCTAATTGTTTACCACAATATGTATGGGAAAAAGTGGTAATTTGTTAACATTTGTGATGCAAACTAATCCTCACATGTAAACTACGGTGGCAAACCTTTGTCACAAAAAATTATCTTTTTGTGAGAACTGACAAGACAAAATGTATCAATAGTTTCATCACAAAAAAGCATAGCATTTGTAGGAAAATTTTAGTCTGGACAAGTTTTGTCACAAGATAAGTTTCAATTGTGTGAAACACATTAGATGTTGTGGCGACAAAGTTATCATTATTATCCTTGGTGTAGTGACAAAAATAGCTCAACAAATGTACATTATAGCAATATGATTATTTCAAATCTGCACCAATAATATTTATTTCAATAATTCAAATTTGGCATTAAGCATTACATAAAACTAAGAACACTCAAACCTCAAAATAACTCTCTTGACACTACTTTAAAGTCTCACAATAATTATTCAACTAAAGTGTTTAAACTCTAAGATGCTGGAGGCTGTGAGGCACCAATGCGTGCAATTAATGCAGCCATTTGATGATCAAGTTGTTCCCTCACTAGGCGAGCAACTTCTCCACTCTGTGCTTGACGCAAAGAACTCATCTCATCACGTTGGGATTGTTGCTCTTCTTGCGGTTGTGCATTTGTTTCACCACCGTGGAAACTTGGCCTTCCAAAGCTTGTGCTCGTTGCTCAAGCAGCCTCAAAGACGTTGCTCAAAGAAAGATCTGCGACGCGCTCGAGCTGCAGCTTCACGCTGTTCTGAAGCCTCAATTTGCACCTGCAATCTGATTCTTTCCTCAGCCACTCGGTTTACAACACGAATGCCAACACCACGTGAATGGTTTGGCTTTCGACCAAGAACTAGTGCGAAGTGCTCCACTATTGGCACGGGCGCAGAAGAAATCTTTTCTTGATGTATCCCAGCAGCTTCATGTAGTTTGGTCTGCAAAGCATGAAAAACAAACTAATTAAGAACCCATATACTACACAACAGGCAAAAACGTTCATGTAAGTAAATTAGACATTATTGTCTACAACATCCTCTAGAATAGTCTGAAGCACCGGATCAAATCTCGGTATGATGAAAACTATGCAAGATGATAAGGGTATGATTGGTTTGTTGCATATATGCCAGCTAGGCTCATGGGATTCAAGTTAGATGATTAGTTGGTTGTATGGCTCCACGGGCCTAGTTCTGTTCATGCAAAAACTCTCTTAGCCTAGCTCTCGAGATACAGGGATTTTAGGTGTTTCTTCAGAGCTGGCTCTTGAGATCTGAATACAGCTTACTAGGTAAGGACATTATTAGCATATTTTAAGTGATATTAATGTACTTCAAACAATATTAAGCATGAGTAAGATAAATTAAGAGCAATAAAAAATGGTTGCATATAACAAATACTACCGTGATTGTGTTTACTTGCCTAATTTCTCGTGCAAGCAAACAAACATCATCTCAGCTCGACCCTCTACTGGATGCAAGCAACGAAACATGGTAGTGTTGTATTTACCCAAGCTATCCCCCGAGGGGCCTGCTCCTGGATACGAACACAACCAATCACACTCTAAGCGGCCAAAGAACACTAGCGTGGATAGTGTAACATCCAAATGTTCTCGAGTTGATACTGTTCAAAAAATCTACAAACATGTTATCTAATAATTGAAAATTGCAGACAAATTAAATAATATATGAAATTTACAAACAGCTTAATAAAACGATATTGTTCATGATTAGAGATACTGCAAACTTTTCAGTAGTGCCTAGACTTTTCAACTCATTAAATGAACAATACAGAGACTACATTGCGTAGATAATAACCATGAAAGAGTCATACATAATTCTACTACCATACTTTTTCATACAAAAAACACACCACTTCCACCTAATCCTAGTTCAAAAGGTAGGATACAGATTGACAAATGTGAAACCCAAAGATGCCATCAAGAAGGGAAGTAATATGGTCATACCATTATTTCTTCACCTGTTGGAATGGACCATGTCCCATCAGCCTTTTGATATGTAGCCTTCCAAACTTGCATAGCAAGAGGCCATTCACCGGTTTACGGGTGTCATTGCATTAGAATAACAAAAGCATATATTCACTAATACAGAACGATGTGTAATAGAAAAAAATCTGCCTAGTAACTATTTTGCTCACCAGATCATAAGCGATTTGAGCAATTGATCTAGTTCCTACTTTGGACCCCATCTCTTGCTTTCCTCTGTTGATAGAGTTTTGGTTGCTCCTTTTCTGGTTTACAAATTGCATAAATGTATCATTAACAATTATGCAACACTGTAATTTAGGACATGAGTTGTATGTACCTGAAAATCATCATCCATCCACAAATTCCTTATCAACCATTGCCAACCTTCTGGTGAGACATGTTGTGGCCTTGGCTTGTTGTTTCGGTAAGCTTGAAGTAGACGGTAACGCCGATTATTATATTGACTCTCTACTTGTCTCATGGCACAATCTTTATCTTCTTCTTAAAAGCTCAGAAACTTTTGTCAGTCTGAAAGAAAGATATATTGTAATAACCAGCCACTGAATGCAATGATAACCTATGCATGCCAAATATATTCATTTCATATGAAAAGTAGGTCACCTTTAGTTTTCTCCAAATAGATGTAGTAGTACCAGGATAAAACTTATCCATGTCCCTCCACTTCTTCACTTGGAGTGGTACAGTTCTTACAAGAACTGTTATCTCACTTTTAAATAAACTAGCATGTTCTCCACACACTTTTGCAAACTCTTTAGGGAACTTTATATCAATATGCTTTCCTTTTGCTCTTCTCTTGCGAAGTTGATTGTTAATTGTAGGTTTTCTTCCACTCTTAGCAAGGCCTAGTTAATTTAGGGAAAAGAACAAGGGTAATTAAATGTAATGTTTGTACTCTATAGTGTCAAGAATCAAATTTTAGATTAGTATAACATGTTGTGACATGCTAAATGTAGCACTTGTTATTATGTCGTATAAAGAAATAAATGTAGATCAACATAACAGTACCTAGCTAAATCAGCGAAATAAACAATGGTGTAAAGAAGCAGGTTTCAGATTAGCAAAACACCTTCAGTGTTGTGTGTTGCAAGCTTTCTAGGTGGAAAAGTGATGACCAGAACAATGCATCCAAATCACGAAGGCGAAGAGTTCGAAAGGTTGCACAGAAGGTGCTGCGCTATTTCCCATTGATACCAAGATTGAAAAGGATGTATATGTGTTCCAAAACTGCAACTAATATGCGTTGGCACAAAGAGGAGCTAGTTGATGATGGATATTTGAGACACCCGGCAGATTCAAAGGAATGGAAGGATTTTGACAAAAATTTCCCATCATTTGCATCAGATGCGCGCAGTGTTAGGCTTGGGCTTGCTAGTGACGGATTCAATCCTTTTGGACATATGAGCACATCATAGAGCATATGGCCCGTTGTTATTGTGATGCATAACCTACCTCCTTGGATGTGCATGAAAGATCCTTATATGATAACTTCAATGCTCATTCCTGGCCCTAAAGCACCTGGCAACGACATTGATGTATATCTACAGCCATTAATTGATGAGCTGATTGAGTTGTGGGGTGGGGTGGAGGCCTATGATGCTTCGATGAAGCGTAAATTCACACTAAAAGTTGCATTGCTCTGGACAATTAATGACTTCCCTGCTTTAGGGAATTTATCAGGAATGTCCACAAAGGGAAAATATGCATGTCCATCCCATCATACCGACACTTGCTACCAATGGCTAGCCAATGGAAGAAAAGGTTGCTACATGGGACACAGGAGATTCCTACCAAAGAAGACATAGTTGGAGGAACAATACTACTTCTTTTAATGGCCAAAGGGAAAGGAGATGTGCTCCAAAACCATTATCGGTATTGAAGTTCTTTCACAATACTGAAAAGTTTACTCAGTACACATACAAAAAAGATTTAAGTCTATGCAGCTTTCTTTTTGTAAATAAATATGATATGAGTTATGATATTTTGATGTAATTTCAAAGGTGTAACATTGCTATCATTATGCTGCCATTCAGTTATATTTGGGAAATCGACAAGAAAAGGAAACGTTCCAAAGACAAAGGTATGGTGTTTGGAAGAAAAAGAGTATATTTTTCAACTCCCTTATTGGAGCAAATTGACACTAAGACATAACCTAGATGTCATGCACATTGAAAAGAATGTTGGTGAAAGTTTGGCGGGTACCTTGCTTGGACAGGAGGGGAAGACAAAGGATAACATTAATTCTCGATTTGATATGGAAATCATGGGAATACAACCAAAACTTCATGCGACTCCCCACGGATGATGGAAAATTTTTATTTCACAATGCACCTTATACACTTTTTGGACCTAAAAGGAAAGCATTTTGTGAGTTCTTGACAAAAATCAAAGTCCCGTATGGTTATTCTGCAAAGGTATCTAATTATGTAGATGCAATAAATGTTAAAATATCGGGATGAAGTGCCATGATTACCATGTGTTTCTGCATAGATACCTTCCACTATCTATTCGCCAGGCATGCTTCCTAAATGATATTTGTCTTCCAATAATTGAGCTATGCAACTTTTTTCGAGAAATTTGCTCAAAAGTGTTACATGTGGAGATCCTTAAAAGGCTTCATTCTTCAATTGCTATTACTCTTTGCAAATTAGAAAAGATATTTCCTCCATCCATGTTTGATGTAATGATGCATCTACCAATCCATTTAGCTCAACAAGCAATGATAGGTGGTCTCAGGCAATATCGATGGATGTATCCCATCGAGAGATTCTTCAGAGACTAAAGTCATTTGTAAAAAACAAAGCTCGTCCCGGAGGGAGCAATTCTTTGAGGTCAGTAGTGTTACAGAATGTGTGACTCTTTGTTCTATGTACTTGCATGGAATTGAGACAAGAATCAACAGGCCAAGCCGTAATGATGACAAAGTGGTGATAACAATAGCAACACACGTACTCCAGATTTTTGCCAAAATTGGAAGACGGCTTATTGGGAATAGATATTGTCAGATGGAGATGAATGAATTGAACAAAGCACAAGCCTACGTTCTAAAAACTGTGAAGAGGCTTCTCCATATACAGAGGGTAAGCCACTCCTAAGATTTTCATTCAACTGTGGACCTCCAATTTTGTAACATCTATTCTCCTATGTTACAAAGATTCACAAGGAATATTTAAGGACACAGAGCACCAAAAATGTAGACAAGCGGCATGAGAAAGAGTTCTTTCAAGTGGTTCAAGAACCATGTAAGTATAAGGATGTATTTATTACATTATTTCTTTAGGGTAGCTTCATTAACTATCGTGCTTCATGTAGATATCAACTATGTATTCCAAAGGAGATCCTTCATTTTCGATGAATTGTTTGATCTAGCAAGAGGACCCGATACTAGAGTGACACATTTCTCAAGTTATATGGTCAATGGATGGAGATTTAACACAAGGGATGAGACGCCTCCCTATTTCAAGCACAAAAACAAAGGGAGTATTTGTCAAGGGCGATGAAGGAACTGAAACAAAGATTACTTTGGTGTCTTGACAGATATTGTGGAGCTTTTATATGGGACTCATAAGGTTGTTCTTTTTAAATGTGAATGGTGGGATGTACATACAACAAGGGGAGTTAAAGAAGATAAGTATGGGTTCATAATGATAAATACTACTCGCAGTCATCAACAGATGATGCCATATGTTTTGGCTTCAAGCGAGAGCAAGTATATTATGTGAATGATACTCAAGATCCAAAATGGTATGTCGTGGTAAATACTAAACCTCGTGATTATTTTGACACTCCTCCCACTGATGAAGAAGATGCCACTACTAAATCAAGTAAATCCAGTCCTGAAGCTTGCCAAGAAAATGAAGTAATAACTGTGCCGAATCCAAATACAATAGAAGATGATGACACAAGTATATTGGACACACCTCAAGTTGAAGCGGAAGCTGAAGGTATGCCTGTGGCTGTGGAAGGTAATCCGATACTCCATTACGAGGGTGACGTTCAGGATGAAGATGAGCAACAAGAATCTGAAAGTGATGACAGCGAAGGTGGTGAGTACATGGATTCAGATGACGAAGACAGTGAATCGGAAGAATAAATAGATAACGACTAGCAAATAACTGATAATGAAGCTGAAATTTCTAAAGGGAATATATATATGAGATGCAGCTTCATCTCCTTGGTCACTTGTTTTACAAACTACTACAGTAGTGTCAAACAAATAAGCATTTAGGATATCATGGTCACTCTGGCATTTTCAGCTATGTTTTATTTCCTAATACTTATCAGTTTTCCTAGCCCTGGTAATATGATATATATTCATGGTCACTAATTTTACTTCCGCTCGGATCCCTACAAGACAAACTTGTGTCTTTTTGTTCCCACAACCAAATTAATGGTACATAAAGTCACTAAAACCTAAGATAATAGAGGTCTAATTTGTACTTCAATTACGTAATTACAACATAATATACTAGTATTATGTAACTAAACATAACTAAGGCATTTCCGTATGCAATGACCAAGGTTCAAGTGCCCAATCAATGCCAATTAAACATCACTAAGGCATTTGGCAATTCGAAGTCTAGCCTACATTCAAACTCCAGAGAATCGAATAGGCAAATATGGTGAATTGATCAAATAATCTAAATCGGAGAGCAACAAAGTGCTTACTATCCAATCCTATGACCTCGGATGAGCCGCAGTGTTAGGTCCCCAGCCACACGAGCCGCTAGTCGCACAGCGGCCCTGAAGCTCCAGTGCTCCACTACGGACACGCCCGAAGCCACGACCGCCCGCCAAACACGGCCGCCCGCCACACGCTGAAGCGGGCTGTCCGCATCCCTGCCCGTGTTGACGCCTCGCAAGATGACCATACCCGCTCACAATGACGGCGCGCGAGCAAGTGGCTCGGCGTCTTCCTCCTCAAGGCAGATGGTCAGCGCGGCGAGGACGCAGCCGAATCCAACCTTTTGCAAGCTCGTCGAGATTGGCGGCGGCGACCGTGGGCGAAGCTCGTCGAAAAGCGAAGGCGAGATTCGGTGGATCCAGTGGGAGCGGGATGGCCGGAGACCATGGGCGAGCTTCGTCGGGCGCGGAGCGAAGCATCGAGTAGGGCGGCCGGAGACACTTTCGTCGAGATAGGCGGCTGCGGCCGTGGGAGAGTTGCTACAGCGCGTCGCGTGCGAAGCTTCGGTGCAGCCATGGGCAAGGGCATCGACGGCCGGCGACTATGGGCGACCTCGTCGGCGCTAACATGGAGCTCTAAGCTTGGGGCGGCCGGAGATAAGGTGGATTTTGCTCGTCCAATAATTGCAAATTATGAAAAAACTAAGAAGATAAGGTGTAGTTTGACCTGACAAGTGGGACCCATGATAATACAATATTTGCCACTAATTATTTATCATACGGAACACATGTTTTTATCACTAATATAAATATTATATAACAAGAAAATTTATTTTCTCACAATTAACTTGGTAACAAGTGACAAAAGAATATTTTGCCACAAAAATTTCTCAGTCATCAGCTACCTTGTGGCGAAGCAAAATTTTGTCACATATTAATGTACTAATAGTGGGGGGAAATTTTTTAGTCACAATTAAGATGGTAAATAGTGGCAAAATACAATTTTGCCACAACATTTTCTCACTGACCTTGAACCGTGTGGTGATATAATATTTTGTCACCGGTAGATGGCAAAACTGTGAGGAAATAAATATTTAGTCACAATTAACCTATTTATTAGTGACAAATTAATGTTTCATCACTAAATTCGCCACTGAAGGTGCATCCTGTGGCGATATAGTAGTTTGCCACTAATAATCGACGCAATAGTGATGAAAATTAGTTTGGCCACTAATAACATGGGAATCAGTGACAAATTAAGATTTCGCCACCACATTTTATCACTGATGCTCGGTCTTCCTGTAGTGCGTGGCGGTGTTGCAAGTGAGTGGGTGGCTCACCCCCACCTCGGCGCGGCGCCCTCTCTAACCCCAGCAACCGAGCTCCCCCCACCCCGGTAGCCATGGCGCTTCCCACCCCCATCCCCCACCGTCGCTGCCGAGCCAAGCCCGGTGTCGGTGGCGCTGGTGGTCGTGGTGCTCGTGCGCGCCGCTAGTGCTGGTGCTGGGTGGTGCTCGTGTGCAGCCGCTCGCCGCCGGCTCCCACCCCATCGGCCAGAATCGACCGGCCCAGGCCTCTCCCCCCCTATATTGTAAATGTATGTTTCAATTGTTTCAGATGTTTCAAAGGCATGTTGCAATTATTTTATATGGATGTTGCGAAAGTAGATCAATGGATGTTGCACATGTTGTAAGTGCTTTAGAGGCATGTTGTAAGTGTTTGTTCAAACAGTTTCATTTGTTTCTATACATATGTTGCAAGCGTTTTGATCTGGATGTTGCATATGTTTTCACACATATGTTGCAACAGTATGTTCCAAAATATTTCATCTATTTCAGTCTTCTGTTAGGTGCAGCAAGTGTTTTCATGTTACAAGTTGCAAATATTCTATCTGGATGTTGAATATGTTTTCACACTAGTGTGTATTCCAGATGTTTCATCTGTTTCAGACGTATGTTGCATTCAAGTGTTTCATGTTGCACGTGTTTCCTACTGTTCAGAGAGTCAGGGACGCCGAGGAATGGGGCGCGGTGAGCCGGTGGCCGACGGACGTGGCGTGCGGTGTGCTGGGGCCAGCGGTCGGGGGCACGACAGGGCGGGGGTGTGCCTGCAGGGGCGGGCGAAAAGATGGGGATGGGGGCGGGGTGCGCGGATGGGGGCAGATCTGGCATTGGGGCAGGCACTGGCGTCCGATGGAATTCATCCCCATCGGACGTTCGTGCGCTAGCATTTCCCTTTGTTGATTGGAATTTTGAAAGCGACAGCAATCCTCCCGGTGATCCATTTGATGCTGGATGGATAGCTTCGTTGCGTTCTGTGCCCTTGCCCGTGTCTTTGGAGTTGCGGTTATGCTTGTATGGTTTGATTTCGATTAAAAAAATTAGCATAGGCCAATTTGTCAACACAAACTCTGTTGCTCTCCTAAAAAAAAGAAAAAAACCAACAAAAATTCTTTTCTGAGACCCTTTTGCCACTTTTAGCCTTCTTATTACTAGGTTTTTATTGCTTGTTGCCCTTTTGTCACTGCACAGGGGGCTAATAATCAAGTGGGAGCTGAGCGAATCCATTCCAATGACAGCAAGAATGATCACATCGATAAGCTTATGCTTCTTTTGACAACAATATAGCATTCCCATCTTGAAAACAATAGTGAGCGGTGAGCCATCATGTTCTCCTCGATAATCGCCTGACAACAAAGGAGAATCGCATACACTAGCCAGGGCCCTAGTACGCCACCTGTGGTGAGAAACTTTTGTGGTTTTGTCTCCCAACCTCTACGTTTTTTCTACTTTTCATTTTATGTATGGTGATGACATCAACTTGTTCATGCCTCCAATCAGCTGATCGATACTCCAGCAAACAGAGATGCTGTGAACAGGATGAAGGTAATTTTAATTTACCCTAACTTCTTTCCCCTTTGCCTAGCATTCAAGGGTACAGCTAAACTATTTTTTTGTTGCAATGAAAAGTGGAACACTCTTGTGCCAAAAAGAACAAGAAAAAGAAAAAACATACCGAAACCATCAAAACATGGTCAGATGTAAGATATCCTAGCAATTGATGTTCATGCAAATCTTTGTGGAATTCACTAGACCTTTTGTTGGCTTGTTCCTCAATTTGTACATACCTAAAGTGAACATACAAACACTTGAATCATGAATATGTAAATGCATGTTCATCTCACTTCGTTGTTTCAAACAGGGTTTACTAGGTTCCATGCACTCTATTGCGGATAAGCTGCTTGTGTTCTGTACTTCTGTCTTGTCATGGTTACTGTCGAACGCCTCTGCCCCGAAGGCAGGACAGAACGTTGAGGACCTTGGGATGCAATTCCTTATCATGGGAACTCTCATACTATACCACATCAACTTTTATATGTTGTTTCTCGCTTCAAAATTCAAGGACGGCGAGTCAATCGATGGTGTGCTATTTAAGTTCAATATGTGGCTGTTGCCTCAAGGACGGCTTAGATTTTTTCAAGAATTAATTAGGCTTAATAGAATTAGTATTTATTTATATAATTAGTCAATGTTTAATACTCTTAATTAGTATCAAACATTCGATCTGATAGGGACTATAAAAAAACTTGACCCGCGGGCTGTTTGACAGCCCCGGACATTGTGCATAAGAAGAAGACCTTCTCACGCAGGTCGAGAAAATCCCCGAACCTCTGCCCCACCCATACACATCGGCACCGCAGCTCTTGTGAGAATGAGCTGGCCTTAGACCCGTGCTTTGGCATGGGACAGATGAGGGAATTTTTTCAACGTGCAGATAAACTGCGCCTCCTTCGGCCAACAAATCCACCCCCGAGGGGATTCAAACTCTGACAGGCCGGGTAGAACCAAACACTCTGAAAGGTCCTAATATGGCTAGAGGGGGGGGTGAATAGCCTATTCAAAAATCTACAAACCAACTAGAGCAATTTGATTAGTATGACAAATAACGAAAAGCAAACTTGCTCTAGCTCTACAAGGGTAGCAAGCCACATATCCAACAATTCTAGTTGTTATGATCACTAGGCACACAATCTACTAGGTCACTACTCACTAAGAGCTCTCACAACTGCTACACTAAAGAGCTCCACTAGATGAACTTAATCTACAAAGCAAGCTCTCAATTCTAGCTACACTAAAGAGCTTGCTATAGCTAGTTTGCGGGAATGTAAATGAGTAAGTGAGGTGATTATATTGCCGCGTAGAGGAGTGAACCAATCATAAGATGAATACTTAATCAATCATAGGGAGAATACCAAAGGACAAGAGACAACCAATTTTCTCCCGAGGTTCACGTGCTTGCCAACACGCTACGTCCCCGTTGTGTCGACCAACACTTGGTGGTTCAGCAGCTAAGAGGTGTTGCACGAACCTCGTCCACACAATTGGATACCGTAAGAACCTACCCACAAGTGACATAACTCAATGACACGAGCAATCCACTAGGGTTACCTTTCGGCACTCCACCGGGGAA